CTGAACAAATATATTATATCTTTAAATTTTTTGTGTTGCTTATGACAAATAAATCAAAACAAGAGGCATTTTGAAATGCACTACAGTGGTGGATTTGTCAATCTCGCTGCAGTTTTATCAATTTTTAGGTTCCCTATTTTATTTAGTTTTAGACATCGTATATTATAACAAAGATCACTTTCTGTACCACTTTGAGTAAATGAACACTGGTAGTTATTATGTTAGTAATAAACTATTAATGTAATAATAATTACTATTAATTAATAATTACATATCACACTTATGTATACATCAAAAGGATAACATAAACCAAATAAATTAAGTATAACTAATTCTGAAATACTTTGAATTTCATTTTTCACATCATCAATGTTTATTTTTTCATTTCATATTCACCTTCTATGAAGTATTGCACAATATTCTGGAATATGGTAATTAAGTATTTATTAGAATAGTACAACGTTAATGTCTGAAGGAACATTGAACTACTGGCACTTATTTCTCCAGTTAGGACAATGACAATTTACTGTGACAACAGAAGGTTTTCAGACAATTGTGACTTATATTATTTCCTCAAATGGTTCTTACAGGGCTTCTGAACTGGAACTCTAAGGGGTTTCAAGGTGTCGATTTATGCCAACAGGATAAAGGATTGATATTCATTTGTCTATGTCTCCACCCAAATCTCTTCTTGAATTTCCATGTGTTACAGGAGGGACCTGGTGGGAGGCAGTTGAATCATGGGGCTACATCTTTCCTGTGCTGTTCTCATGATAGTGAGTAAGTCTCATGAGATCCGATGGTTTTAAAAAGAGTAGTTCTGGCCAGGCGAGGTGGCCCAAGCCTGTAATCCCAGCACTTTGGGAGGCCGAGGTGGGTGGATAACAAGGTCAAGAGATCGAGACCATCCTGGTCAACATGGTGAAACCCCGTCTCTACTAAAAATACAAAAAAATTAGCTGGGCATGGTGGCATGTGCCTGTAATCCCACCTACTCGGGAGGCTGAGGTAGGAGAATTGCCTGAACCCAGGAGGTGGAGACTGCAGTGAGCTGAGATCGCACCATTGCACTCCAGCCTGGGTAACAAGAGCGAAACTCCGTCTCAAAAAAAAAAAAAAAAAAAAAAAGAGTAGTTCCCTGCTTAAGCTCTTCTCTCTTGTCTGTAGTCATGTAGCCATGTAAGACATGCCTTTTACCTTCTGCCATGATTGTGAGGTCTCTCCACCATGTGGAACTGTGAATCCATTAAACCTCTTTCTTTTATAAATTGCCCAGTCTCTGGTATGCCTTTAACAGCAATGTGAAAACAGACTAATACAGTAAATTGGTACCACAATAGTGGGGTGCTGCTGAAAAGACACCCCAAAATGTGGAAACAGCTTTGTAACTGGGTAACAGATAGAGGCTGGAACAGATTGGAGGGTCCAAACAAAGACAGAAAAATGTGGGAAAGATGGATCTCCCTAGAGACTTGCTGAATGGCTTTGATCAAAATGCTAATAGTTATAAAGACCAAAAAAAAAAAAAAAAAAAAAAAATCAGGCTGAGGTGGTCTCAGATGGAGATGAGAAACTTGTTGGGAACTGGCACAAAAGTGATTCCTGTTACGTTTTGGCAAAGAGACTGATCGCATTTTGTCCCTGCCCTAGAGATTTGTGGAACTTAGAACTTGAGAGAACGATTGAGGGTATCTGGTGAAAGAAATTTCTAAGCAACAAAGCATTCAAGAGGTGACTTTTTGTGCTGTTAAAGGCATTCAGTTTTATAAGGGAAGCAGAGCATAAAAGTTCGGAAAATTCACCACCTGACAATGTGATAGAAAAGAAAATTCCATTTTCTGAGAAAAAATTCAATCCAGCTGCAGAAATCTGCATAAGTAACAAGGAGCTGAATGTTAATCACCAAGACAATGGAGAAAATGTCTCCAGGACATTTTAGAGGTCTACACAGGAGTCCCTTCCACTACTGGATCAGAGTCCTAGGAGGAAAAGGTGGTTTTGTGTGGGGTCCAGGGTCCCCATACTGTATGCGGCCTGCAAACCTGGGGCCCTGCACCCAGCAACTGCAGCCATGGCTGAAAGGGGCCAGTGCAGCGCTCAGACCATGGTTTCAGAGAGTGTAAACCCCAAGCATTGGCCGCTTCCACATGCTGTTGAACCTGTAAATGCACAGAAATCCAGAATTGGGGTTTGGGAACCTCCACCTGGATTGCAGAGAATGTATGATGCCCAGGTAAATGTTTGCTGCAGGGGCAGGGCCCTGATGAAGAACTGTCAGTGGACCGTCCGGGACGGGTAGGCACATCTGCCCGGGGGTCTCTCGACCTGCAAGAGGGTCCCAATACCTGGAAGAGGGAGTGCGCCTGGAAAAATAAAGACAGAGAGAGAGAAAGTGAGGCGTCTGGAGGGCTGATAGGCTGTGCCTAAACAGCAAATTTTATTTTTCAAAGGCCAAGAATAAATACACTTTCTTGGCTCTGGTTTACGTCATAGTAAGAGGAATGCAAATGTATGCCTCACATGGCCTATACAATAGAGAAGTCAGATATGCAATCAGTGGTTGTAAAAAGTAACAGAATTTCCTGTAATCACAAAGCTTGCATCCAAACATTATTCACAAAGCTTGTTTACATCCAAACATTATTCCTCCTGGCTGCAGGTATCTCTGGTTTGACCTTGTTTTAGAACTGAGATGTGAAAAGGTTTTTTGGTTTTGCTCATCAGAATATTTTTTAATCGGATTCTCCTTTGTCTACTCCTGACTCAACTTAACTCAACTTCCCCATTCAGGAATCTCTGAGTCAGGAATCAAAGCCATCCCTTATGGTGGCATTTTGCTTTGCAAATATCGACAGTTAAACCATTATCTAGGGTACAAGGCAGTTAGGTAAGGTTTAAGGCTTATTCTTGAAGAGTCATAAAAAGGCTAAAAGCAGGAACCCATTGCTGGTAGGGGGTCACTCGGTCTAGCAGCAACGCATAGTTTTAGGTCCAAAACGATATTGTGGTTGATATTAGAAACTGATCATTCATCTTTAAGTTCCTATATTTCCGAATAGCTCGACTGCCTCCAGTAGGAAACTGTGCTTGGGATCAAACTCACCGTATAGTGAGACTCACGCCTTTTAGGGGTCTCACACGGGAGTGTTCCCCACAAAGAACCTCTACTAGGGCTGTGTGGAAGGAAACATGGGGTTGTAGCCCCCATACAGAATCCGTACCAGATCACTGCCTCGTGGAGCTCTGAGAAGAGGGCCACCATCCTCCAGACCCCAGAATCGTAGATCCACTGATAATTTGCACCATATGCCTGGAAAAGCCTCAGACACTCAACATCAGCCCATAAGAGCAGCTGGGAAGGAGGCTGTACCCTACAAAGCTTCAGGGGCAGAGCTGCTCAAGCCCATGGGAACCCACCTCTTGCATCAGCACGACCTGGATGTGAGATATGGAGTCAAAGGAGATGATTTGGAACTTTAAGATTTGACTCTCTTGCTGGATTTCACATTTGCGTGGTGCCTGCAGTCCTTTTTGTTTTGGCCAATTTTTCTCATTTGAAATGGCTGTGTTTACCCAATGCCTGTACCCCCATTGTATCTAGGATGAACTAACTTGCTTTTGATTTTAAAGGCTCATAGACAGAAGAGACTTCCTTGCCCCAGATGAAACTTTGGATTGTGGCCTTTTGAGTTAATGCTAAAGTGAGTTAAGACTTTGGAAAACTATTGGTAAGGCATGATTGGTTTTAAAATGTGAGAACATTAGATTTGGTTGTGTCCTTACCCAAATCCCATCTTGAATTCCCACATGTTGTGGGAGGGACCCAGTGGGAGGTAATAGAGTCATGGGGCGGAGTCTTTCCTGTGCTGTTCTTGTAATAGTGAATAATCTCACAAGATCTGATGGTTTTTATAAGCGGAGTTTCCCTGCACCAGCTTTTTTCTCTTCTCTGCTGCCATGTGAGATGGGACTTTCACATTCCACCATGAATGTGAGGCCTCCCTAGTCACGTAGTCATGTGGAACTGTAAGTCCATTAAACCTCTTTCTTTTGTAAATTGCCCAGTCTCAGGTTTGTCTTTATCAGCAGCATGAAAACAGGACACTACATGGATTCACAAGTTTATATACAGTCTAACAATGACATCTTTGTCATGATTGCTGCCTGGTCACCAGCAACTATGAAATTCCACAGATGTTGAAATTCATCCTTAATTTAGAGATGTTAAAGTATGTAATAATATGTATCATTTAATTATTGAAATATGCAATTTAAGGCTCATCTATTAGATATGTTCAAGTATACGGATGTATCTTCCTGGTGGATTTAAAATTTTATTGTATGAATTGATCCCTTTGTCTCTATCCTTGATATTTATTTTGGCCAATATTGACTTTTTATATGTTTTCTCTCCATTATTTTGAAAATTTCTCCCTATATCTTAGGTTAGAGGTTGTCAACGATGGCCTACTGGCCAACTTTGACCCACCTCCTGTGTTTTTAAATGAAATATCATTGAGACATAGCCATGCTCATTCATGTTTGAATACTGGTCTATGTCTGCTTTCATACTCCAGCAACCAAATTGAAAAGTTGCTGCTGAAATCATTTGGCCCATAAAGTAAAAAACATTTACCACTTGACCCTTCACAGAAAAGCTTTGCCATCCTCTGCCTTTGGCCTATCTTTATAGTTTAGATGTAAATAGCATTTGTAAGCATTTAATTAATTAATTTAGAGATGCATTATGGACATTTTATTATCCTATTGACTAACTCAAACTGCAGTTAGTTACAGTATACTGGTTATACAGCTATTAATTCATATGTGTGTTTTTAACATAGAAACTTAGTGCATTTGTGTTTATATAGTAGGAAAATACTTATTTCTAGAAAATATATCGTAAGAGTGATTCTTCATATTTTGAGAACTCTTTTTATTTTTAAGTTAATTACCTTGTTTAATACTTGAAATACTGCTTAGAAACACCTAAATTAGAGAAAAAATTGAAGCTCAGAGAGGTTAAGTGTTTTTTTCTTAAGCTAGACAGTATCCAAGACCCAAGATAGACCCAAGGGCCTCTTCCAGCCTTGTCAGGAGGAATGCTAACCTTCTCTCCTTTCATATGACACAACTTTGTATTTGGCTACTTCTGTTTATTAGGATATATTTGCCCTGATTTTTAACAGTTAAACTTCTATTGGTCTCAATTTAAATATTTATTTTCCTTCCTGGCTTGCTTATTTGATGAGTTTTTCTGTTTGACAGGTTTTCTTTTTTTCTTACTAAGTATTTTCTCTTTTGCTATTTAGAACATTATTTCATGTTTGTTGTATGTTTACTATTAAGTTCTTTTAATTGTGAACTTAAGCTATTAAATGCAACGCAATATTTTCATCTCTCTCCTGCTGTATACAAGGACACTAGAACACTTAATTCTGATAGTTCTGTTCCTCCTTAATAACCTAAGAATCTCCAGTGTTTTAAGGCTAATTTCTACTTAATACCTTAATTTAGAAATTATCTGCCTAACATTTAATACAGATACTGCTTATTCAAATCTATCTACACATTAACCATTTCATTATCTCTTTGCTTATTTGTTTCCATTTTAGTATTTACTTCTAGGATAATTTCTCATTATATAGTATATAAAATAGAAATATACTATTATATAAATATATACCATATATATATATATATATACACTAGTAAATAAATATACTAGTATGCTTTATATACTAGTATATAAAATAGAAATTAGTATTTACTACTACATATTAATAAGGTTATATCTGCTATATACACAGTCCTCAGCTGACACTTGTTTCTTTTACCCTCTTAAGATATTTATTTTTGTTGCTTCAGATAAATATCCTGTCAACCATTGATTTGTAAACTATCTATCCGTCCTTTCCATCTGCTTGAAACATTGTTGATGTCCCTGGTGATGTGCAATTTCACTCTAATTTACATATATTTGGATTTTTTTTTTTTAATTTTACTTAGCCTGCTTAGTATATATTGAACTTCCTGTTTCTTTGGGGTCACTCTTTTATCAACTCTAAAATTTGTAGTTAGTATTTTTGTATATCTAATTTCTCCAAAATATTCTGTAACCCATCATCTTTGAATTTAAAGTAGACATATGTTGAAACATTCTCTTTCAAATGTTTAACTTTTTGAATCACTCTTTTCAACGATTTTCAAATCAATATTTGAAACATTCTCTTTCAAATGTTTAGCTTTTTGAATTACCCTTTTCAACGATTATTATCTACAGATCTAATATTAGTCCACTAATTATCTCATGATTCTCTAATCAGCTGCTGAGAAAAATTTCTATAATTCAGTTTTTAAGAATAAAAGACATATTTTCCTTTTAAAATTCTTTGTTGTCTGAAAACAATTTCATGATGAATACTCTTTTTTGTGAAATTAACCATATTGTCTATTTCAGACATATTATTCTATATGATGTGTCAAATAATTTTAATATATAAAATATTTTGTAGGTTCAAAGACATTTGCTGTTTATATTGACTTTGATTCATAGTAGCTCATTTTTAAATTTTTTACTAATCCTTGATTATGAGGTTTTTTTTAAGAATTTTAGTCTGTAGAAAATCAGAGAAGCAGCATTTTGAATTTTTTCCCCCAGAATAAAATTTCATGTGGGGTAAACGTATTATCACAAACTTGGGGTTACTAGACACCTGCAGGACAATTTTGCTTTCAGGGTTTTTGGTTCAGTATGAAATGTGTGAGTAAGCCCTTCAAATCTGCTGCTAGTTCAATAATTAATTTCAGGATCTTTGTTCGAATTGGGACATTTGCATTCAAAATGTGTATATCAGGTTTGTTATTGCCAATGATAGAAAGCCCAACAATTCATTACAACGTGACTTTTCTTCAGGATTTAGGTAACGATCTTCAGTGCGTGTGTTCCACACTGCTACTAGAATTCAAAATTTCTATATACATTCAGAAACCTATACTTCCCTGATCATCAAGACAAAAAATAACAATATGTTTTATTCTCTTTTATATAAGAAGATATATTTTTATAGTACCTCACTGCATCCCATCCCCACACTTGCTCTCACAATCGTGGTCTATAAACTATAAGGCCTCTGGCAATTCTGATGAAGTAGAATCATACCAGGCCAATGACTCCTTGCTATTTGCCTTTATTTCATTTGTAGTTTCCAGTACTACAGAGAAATGAGTGGAGACGATGGAAAAGAGCTGAGTCTGACAGATGCAGTGCCTGAGCAGTGGAGAATCATATTAAGTGGTTGTTTTGCTTTCAATTTTTCTTTCATTTATTTTTAAAATTGATGATTAACCATGGTTTTGTGATAATAATAGGGATAGATTTTAAGAAAGTAGGCAGGGCTAATATGTCAGCTAAGGTGAATTATTAATAAATTAGAGAATGTTTTCTTAATCTATCTTACTTAGTCTTGTTTAGATGATATTTAATATGTGTTTAACAAACTTCTTGTACAGACACCTCCAGGACTGTTTCTGGTGGTGTAAATTTTCTTACTTTCTGTGATACCACATTTGTGCTGTCCTTCAATGACAAGTATAGTTTTATCCAATGCATTGTCTCAATTAATTTTTTCTCTTTTCTACATATAAAATCTGTTTAACCGTTTGACTTGGAATATTATTCAAGATATATTATCTACAGGATTGCATTCTTTATAAATTAATATAATCTAAGTGCTAATTAGAGAAGGCTCAGTACATGAATTATCTGTAAATCTCTGATTTCTGTAATTTTTAAAATAGAGAGTGTGGAAGTAACTCACTCATTTGACTGATTTTATCATGTCACCTGCTATAGTTTAATCTTTTTTTTTTCTTCCTCTGATGAAAAGTTTAATAAGCAGTGAAGAGGTGAAAAATACCTTTGGAGAGAGAAAGGGTCTTATTCCTTGGATGACTGACATTTTTAATTTATATCATTAGGCATATGCCCATTTTAGAATATTATACTTGAAAATAAATAGTCAAAATAAAAAATGGTCTTAGTCATTTTATGTAGATGAGTCAAAATGGCTGTACTTCTTATTTTATTGATATTTGATTATTGAATTGACTTTTTGCTTTACTCTTGTTAAAGAGGAACATAGACAATTATTTTAAATAATAATGGCCCACTATTTATTAAAGTTAAGTGAATTAGTCTCGTGTTTAGAATACTAAGCTAGTAGGAGCGCCTGTTTTCTTGATAGATTCGTCAGGATGAATGCAATACTACCCAAATATATACAACTACTTACCTTCCTTTTATTTTACTGCAAGTAATTTTAAACTTTCTAGAATTTCTGTAGTTTTTTTCTAGTTTTGTCTCAGGGTCTCTATCTAGAGACTTGTCATAAGCTGTAGCCCTGCTGTGACCAGGAATCTAAGGAATTTTATTTTGGATGTTTACAATAAGCTTTTCACAGGTGTCCTCTCACAGGAAACTTGTTAATACTGGCAGAAGTCCTTGTAACTCTTGTCTGACCTGAATCCAGTTTGTTCCTAGGAAGACAGCCACTCTCTACGAGGGCCCCAACTGGAATGGCAGTTAGGTTCAGGTCTTGGTCAGGCAAGATGCAAAAGAGGCAGCCCCTCCAAAATACATGAAATAACAGAAGCAGTGTGTTACTTATGGACCCATGAGAGAAGAAAGGTACCAGTGAATTAAAGATAACTCACTTGTTTCCCCTTTAAAAGAGTCTGTTTTGGATTAATTCAGGTATTAGGGTAAATACCACGCTATTTTTAAAGTTCCTACTTCCCGTCAGAGCTTTCTCTGTCCTCTCTCAAATGGCCCTGTCTCCTCTCTCTCTTTCGTGATGTTATCTGCCGTCAGGAACAAAGTAATTCATGCTTATATTGGGATTCTCCATAGTTCTGGTCTTTTACTGCATGCTCTAAGCCATCCACCAATAAGTGGCTTATCTGGTCTGCTCTTGAGGATTCTGTGCTGGTGTGTTCTGTGGTGTTACTGGTTCTCCGTGTTTCTTTGGATTTTATAAAGTTGGTATTTGCCACGCTCTGGAGCTGCGGAATACAGCTGAACTGCAACATGCAGAGTTCTACCCAGGCTTCTTCATACTTGTCCATAAGCACTTCCAGGTAGGCAGAAGAATCTGGTCACTTTCTTCTCACCATACTATGGTGTACAGGATTGTTTCTTTCCTGGGTCTCCACTAGTGATGACTATCCTATTGTGGAAGTGTGTCTGCCATATTGGATATGGCAGGATATGAAATGCATGGGATCATTGACTATTACACCCCCAGATAGTCAACGACCAGTAGCACACTAGCATGACGTTTTTGGAATCCTTCAAATTATGATGTGTGTGTTTTCTGTTAAGAGTCTTTCCATTCCAAAACCTGAGCTGTGATGCAAGGAAATAGGAAGTGCTGGGTTCATTAAAAGGGCACAAACAACAGTTCTGCATGTTCTTTCTCCAGCTAATTCCTCTCTGTTTTACCAGAGAGATATATTTTTTTAACATAAGAACATTTTGTTGATGTTGTTATTCTAACCTTCCCCTCATGTCTGAGGTGATAAGCCCGCAACTAAAGGAAAAATTAAATGAACAAACAAACAATACAGAAAATTCACAAAGTTAATTTTAAAGTATTATTTCTTTTTTCCTTGCTGTACTTTTGAGTGCATTCACTGTCTCTATTCACTGGTTCATTTTTGGCCTTAATTAAACTATTTTGTCCAATGAAGGCAGATTCGTGAAGCAGCTAAGAACATGAACTCTGGAATCAGATAGAATTAGATATCAAAACCAATCCTGTATTTTTAAACTATGTGACCTTGGAAAAGCCATTTAAATTCTTTTAGACTGATACTTCAGTGGAAAATTAAAATAATAATTCTTACCTCATAAGTTTATTCTGAGAATTAAATAAAATTTTCTAAGGCCATTAGCTTAGAACAATTCCAGGCTTTCAGTAAATATTAAGTGAATCATTAAAGGATTGCTGCCATTATTATAATAATGGATTATAGTTATTAAAGTAATAGTAAAAGAGAAGACAGATAGAAAGGGGTAAAGAGAAATAATATAAATAGAAGAAAAAGGCTAAGATAACAAAGTACATATGTC